TGGATAAAGGAATTTAGTGCAAATTGAAGAAGGTACGTGCCTTTGATTTCATCCAACATCCCAAGAATAGAACCTTTATTATTGAAACTTGTGAGAATAAGGGAGAGAGTCTTGTATCACATGTAAAAAGTATAATATAAAGTGTTGTGTCTCTAATAAAGTTGATTTTACAAACAAGAAAGAATGCAATAAGGATCATGTAAGTAAGAGATTATACTTCATGAAAAGCTAGTTTATCGACTGAATAAACTATTTGGAGTCACAAGAAAGAGAGAAATTTAATAGGAGGAATCTCAAAGGAATAATAAAAAGAATCAGGATGAAAGAAGTTTCTTCAGTGGATCCTTTACAACATTTGCAACAAACTTCTATGTCACTATGAATATACGTAGTAAGAATTGATTATATGAAGCATCTGTCCACCACATTCCAGCAAAACACCAGTCTTTCAAACCCCTTAATACAATATTTCAGTTTGCCATAGATTTGCTTAGACCTCCCTTCTTTTGCCTTATCTTTTGCCTAGGTGCCCTTTCCGGGTTTCCAACCTAGCAGGCATCTTTGCTTGATCTCTCTCTCTCGCTCTTTTTTTTTGCCTAGGTGCCCTTTTCAGGTTTTCAACCTAGCAAGCATCTTTATTTGATCTTTTTTTTGTTTTGTTTTGTTTTTTGCCTTAACTCTTGCCTAAGTTACCTTTTCCGGTTTTCAACCTAGCAGGTACTTTAGCTTCAAGCAAAATATCTCTTCACAGCATCCAAATTTATAGGTTTTGACAATTCTTGTCCCTCCATATCTACCAAAATAAGGGCACCTCCTGAAAAGGCTTGCTTCACAATATAAGGGCCTTCGTATGAAGGAGCCCATTTACCTTGGCAATCTTCTTGATTCGGGAGGATTTTTTTCAAGACTAGGTCCCCTGGCTTAAATTCTCTTAGACGCAGCTTATTATTAAAAGCCTTTGCCATCCTCTTTTGGTATAATTGTCCATGACATATGGCTAATCACTTCTCTTCGATCATGTTCAATTGTTCAAATCGAGTTTTAATCCATTCATCTTCTTCTAACACGAATTCTATGATTACCCTTAATGAGGGTATCTCTACTTTAATTGGAGTCACAGCTTCCATGCCATATACCAACGAGTATGGTGTTACCCCAATTGACACACAAATAGTTGTGTGATACCCATAAAGAGCATAGGGAAGCATCTCATGCCAATCCTTATATGTGATTGTCATCTTTCCAATAATCTTCTTAATATTTTTATTAGCTGCCTCAACCGCCCCATTCATTTGAGGTTGATAAGGTGCCGAGTTATGGTGTTTAATCTTGAACTGTCCACACAACTTCTGAACTTCTATCCTATTCAAATTAAGCGCATTATCTGTAATAATCCGTTTTGGTAGGCCATATCTACAGATAATGTTCGTTTTCAAAAACCTAAGGAAAGCTTTCTGGGTAATGCTAGCAAAAGAAGCAGCCTCTATCCACTTTGTGAAATAATCGATAGCTATAAGGATGAAACGGTGCCTATTTGAGGCCTTAGGATTGATTGGACCAATAACATCAAGTCCCCATAAAGAGAAAGGCCAGGGGGTCACAAGGTTATGAAGCGGTTGAGGTGGGGCGTGTATTCGATCAGCATAAATTTGGCATTTATAACACTTTTTGACATATTCAATGCAATCTCTTTCTATAGTTAGCCAAAAATAACCCTATCTCTGAACTTGTTTGGCCATAGTATGGCCATTAGCATGGGTTCCGCATATTCCTTCATGAACCTCTTCTAAAATTTTTCGTGCATCCCCTGAGTCAACACACCGAAGCAATGTACCATCAAAAGTTCTTTTATATAGTACATCCCCACTAAGGAAGAAATTCATTGCCATACATCGGATAGTCTTCTTATCATTTTCCATTGCCTCCAAAGGGTATTCTCCGCTTTTTACATATTTTTTTATATCATGAAACCATGGATGTGCCTTCATTTCATTTTCAATATTCAAGCAATATACAGGATTAATTTTAGCCTCAATCCTAATTGGTTGACCGTGAATTCCACAATCCAACTTAACCATGACAGCTAGTGTTGCTAAAGCATCTGCAAATTGATTCTTATCATGAGATAAGTGGTGGAATCTCACTTTGTCAAATTTATTAATCAACTGGGTGAGATATTTTTGATATGGGACTAACTTGGAATCCTTAGTCTGCCACTCGCCAGTTGCTTGATAAATAACAAGAGCGGAATCTCCAAAAACATCAAGTTCCTTAATGCCTAATGTCACGGCAGCTTGTAAGCCATTTAAACATGCTTCATATTCAGCTATGTTGTTGGTGCAGTCAAAGCCTAATTTGATGGCTAATGGGAATTGTCTGCCCCTAGGGATATCAACACTGCTCCTAATCCATTTCCATAAATGTTCGCTGCCCCATCAAAATACATCTTCTATTTCTCTTCCCCTCGTTCTTCCTCTTCTGCCACAAGAACATCCTTGCCTGGGAATTGAAAATTTATAGGTTGGTATTCCTCCATAGGATTTGCTACCAAATAATCCGCAATGATACTTCCTTTAATTGACTTGCAAGTCATGTATTTCACATCATATTCCGAGAGTATTACCTGCCACTTAGAAATTCGACCTGACACATGAGGACTCTCAAAAATATATTTATTGAATCCATTCGTGAAATCAACCATGTGGTATAATACAACATGTATTGCCTTAGTCATCGAGTAACCCATACTAAACCACAACATGTCTTTTCAATTAGTGAATAGCGTGATTCACAATCAGTGAATGTTTTGCTCAAATAATAAACTGCCTTTTCCTTTTTGCCGGCTTCATCAAGTTGTCCCAGCATTGCACCTATAGATGTAGGTCTTATGGTTAAGTAAAGAATCAAAGGCCAACCAGGTGTTGGGGTACTAATAGTGGAGGGTTCAATAAATAATCCTTAATCTTATCAAAAGCTTGCTAACAATGTTCATCCCACGTGTCAGTGTGACTTTTTTGTAATAATTTAAAAAGTGGCTCACAAGTAGCAGTTAGATTGGCTATGAATCTGGATATATAATTCAGGTGCCGTAAAAAACTACGAACCTCTTTCTCTGTTTGTAGCGGCCTCATGTCGCAAATTGCTTTGACCTTGTCAAGATCTACCTCTATACCCTTCTTATTGACAATAAAACCTAACAATTTTCTCGATGAGGCTCCAAATACGCATTTATTAGGGTTTAACCTGAGCTTGTATTTACGCAAGCGTTCAAATAATTTTCAAAGAACTGCTACATGGCTTTCATCTTCAGCAGACTTAGCTACCATGTCATCCACATACACCTCAATCTCCTTATGCATCATGTCATGAAACAATGCTACCATGGCTCGCTGATAAGTTGCTCCTGCATTCTTTAATCCAAAGGGCATCACCTTATAGCAAAAGGTACCCCAAGGTGTAATGAAAGTAGTTTTATGTTTGTCCTCCACATGCATAGGAATCTGGTTGTACCCTGAATACCCATCCATAAAGGAATATCTATAACTGCGTGCTGTATTATCCACAAGCACATCAATATGGGGTAAAGGAAAGTCATCCTCGGGGCTAGCACAATTCAAGTCCCTATAATCCACACACATTCTAACTCGTCCATCCTTTTTTGGTACTGGAACAATGTTTGCAACCCATTGTGGATATTTGACTACTTCTAAGAATTCGGCTTCCCATTGTTTCTTTACTTCTTCTCTAATTTTAAGTGACATATCAGGGCTCATTCTTCGCAATTTTTGCTTTTTAGGTTTACTATCAAGATGTAAGGGTAGCCTATGAGTAGCAATCTCTAAATCAATCCCTAGCATATCCAAGTATGACCATGCAAACACATCAAGGTACTCTCAAAACAAACTAATCATCTCTTCTTTCTCTGGATTATCAACAATTTTTAACTCCTTTTTATCTTCCTCCATCCCTAAATTTACAATTTCAATCGACTCCTCGTGTGGCATGATGCCTTGTTCAGAAGATTCTATCATTTTTGCAAAGATTAAGGGTGTTTCTTCATCTTCATCAGTTTCATAATCATATGTATCCATAGTGAAACATGGTTCATTCAAACTATGCTCAGGAACCAATGAATTAGACAGGAGTTTCGAGAATTCTAATTCCCTGGAAAATTATCATGTAAGGTGAATGAGTATTTATGTGTATAAGGTGCAAATAAGAATATGAGAAAAATACTATGGATGGAGAGAGAAAGAGTGGATAATGAAAGAAAAGAAAGAAAGAAAGAAAAATGAATGAAATGACAAGAAGAGTGAAGAGAGAAAACAAAGAAAAAAATATTGCATTCATTCTTTAAATAAAGTTCAGGAGTACACAAATTAACCTAAAAAGTGAAACAACACATTGAAATATTACTTTAGTGACATGACATCAACAATCTCCTTAGATTCCCAGTTGCCCAACTCTTTTACTGGTGTGTCTGGCTGTATCCATACCTCCTTTGAGCTTCCTTTATATTCTTCACTCATCATAGCTATAAAACCATTTGGATTGATTATCTCTGTAGGTGATGGAAAGGTTTCATGAATATGTGGGATTTCTTGCTTATCTTGCTTCTTTCCTTTATTCAACTTCATTTGCCTTGTCATTGATGCTTCTAAAGAAGGCTCATATCCTAGACCTTGACGTTTTGGGTTTTCTGAGAGTACTATCGGTTCTTTTATCCCTTGCAACTTTATTCCCAATCCTTTTCCCGATTTAAATCTATGGTTCTTTATGATCTTAGCCATGACTTGATTCACCTCCTCACTTGACTGGTCAACAAACTCAAAGTTTTGATATGCACTTTCAAATGATTGCTCAGTATTCTCAATATAAAGCACCGCACTTGGCTTACTAATTATCAGTTCTTCTTCTCCTCTTATAGTAATAAGTCTTCCATCATTAATGTATTTGAGTCTTTGGTGTAGAGTCGAGGGTACAGCCCCAGCATCATTAATCTAGGGTCTACCAAGTAACATGGTATATGCAGCATCGATGTCCATAACTTGAAATTCTACCACAAAAGTACTTGGTCTAATTTGCAATGGAAGGCAGACATTGCCTACAACTTCTCGTCTTGTCCCATCAAATGCCCTAACTACCACGTCGCTATGTTTCATACAAGATGCATCAATAGGTAAAAGTTCCATAGTAGATCGAGGTAAGACATTTAAGGCAGAACCCCCATCAATTAATACTTTGGCTATTACATAACCATGGCACTTTAAAGTAATGTGAAGCGCCTTTAGGCATTGAGAAGCTGTCGGGAAGATCTCATCTTTGGAGAATGCAATTAATGTAGAGTTTTTCACAGCATTAACTAGATTAACCACTTTCTCAGGAGTTATGTTTGGGCACACATAAGCCTCATTTAGAACCTTTTGTAAAGCCTTTCGATGTACTTCAGAACTGAAAATGAGGGACAATATTGAAATTCATGCTGGGGTCTTATTCAATTGCTCCACAATGTTATATTCGCTTTGCTTCATGATCTTTAAAAATTCATCAGTCCCTTCTTCTTTGCTTTTCATGGTATACTCTTTAGGGCCTGAGCTTTCTCCAACTTCTAAACCCTTACCCCCTAGCATATAGGTTTCATTGGCGTAAATTCGACCACTTCGTGTAATTCCACTAACTGTAATGTCAACATTACTAGCTTTGTTTAGTGTCCCTTGATCGCGAGGGCCTTCAATTCTTAAGCCATAATTCCAAGGTACAGCATGATTGCTATGATATAGGAATGGTGCTGGTACGTGGAGGAAAGCAATAGGTTTCTTGTTATTGACATTATGAGATGTTTTGCCAATAAGCAAAAAGGATTTTTCTGCTGATTCCTTCACTTCATAAATTGGCTTATTTATCGAAAAGGATGAATTTTCTCCTTCTGCAGCTTGCAACTCCTTATTGATTACAAAATATGTAACCTTCCCATCTAATGCACATACATTTCTCATATTTTTTCTGTCAATGCCCACAATCCCTAATATCATCATTTTTTGAGCTAACTCTTTGAAAGGAATACATTTTTTTAATGTCATGACCTATAACCTCTTGGTGATATTCACAAAAATCAAACATAGCTTGAGAAGTTCTTTCATTGCTCCTAAAGCTTTGCTGGATGTAGCCTAATTCTCTTAAGTGCTCATACAGCTGCTTCATGGTGCAAGGAATGTCCTCTACTGCTTTTGAGAGGCTAATGTCATTATCTATCATGGCAACTGGCTTTCCTTTCTCATGCTCAAGTAGGGGATTGGTGGTGATATTAGGATTGCTACCTGTCTTGATCCCAATATGATTGTTATCTAATAAAAGAAGCACATGTCTTCTGAAAGCATCACATTTGTCAATAGAGTGGCTAGCCACCCCCATGTGGTATTCACATGTTGCGTTCGGATCATACCAAGCTAGGAAAGGTGGTTGGAGAGGTTTAATAGGTTGAGGCCCTATAAGATTCTTTGCAACCAAATCTTCATACAACTCTGTCCGAGTAACATTAAAGTTTGGTAATGGGTGCTCGTCCCGAGGCGGCCTTACTGGTCTTGCTCCAATATGGTGTTGATTACCCATTTGATGATTAAGTTGAGCATTTGGAGGAGTATGATAAAATTCTACCCTTGCTTGCGTTGAATCAAACTGTGCAAAGTTGTTTGGTTGGGAGTACGAAGGGTTATGGGCGCAATTAAAGGGTTGTTGGTACGGTCCTTGTACATAATTGATGTCTCCCTCCTTTTTCTTCCCCACTTGTGCTTTCTTGGCTTCTAAGGGTGTATTTTCTAACCTTCCTCTTCATATGCTTGTATCAATTCATTCACCTACTTCAATAAGATCAGAAAAATCTCGAGCCTGCGTTCCTAACATAATCTTATGATAAGGATCAGCTAGAGCATTAATAAAATAAGTTCGTAACTCCGATTCAATTAGAGGAAGTTGAACTTCAGAGGTAACTGATCTCCATCTTTGGGCGTATTCCTTAAAAGTTTCATTAGCCTTCTTCTTCATCCCTTCTAACTGTTTCCTTATTGGGGCCATGCTTAGGTTAAACCTGTATTGTTTCATGAATGCCCTAACCAAATCACTCCATTTCTTATATTTGGAGCGATCAGATTTCATAAACCACCTTAATGCACTCCCTATGAGACTTTCCTGGAAGAAATTGATGAGGAACTTTTCTTCCCTTGACCAAACTGACATCTTTGTGCAGTAAGTAACTAAATGATATTCAGGATCACCATTACCATCATACTTGGTGAAGTCTAGTACTTTAAATTTTTTTAAGAACAGTTACTTCCGGTGGTAAGCAAAGTTCGTCAATCTTAAGGGATCCCCAGGTGACTGGACCTTGTAAAGCTCGAAGTTGATCCTTCATTTTTGACATCTCTTCTTTCCAGCTATCCTTGGAATTGTCTTCCATGCCTTTTAGTGATGCATTATTAAAACCTTCAGTTGGATCTATAATTGGAATGTTATATGTATATACTTCTCCCTTATTCTACTCTTAAGTAGGTTGTTCAGGGGATTTCGCTATAGGATCAATCCTTCCATCGACTGCCGTACTATTAACAACCCCCCCTTGTGGCTGTAAAGACTCATTTCCTTAGTTTCCACTAGGAGGTTGGGGGTTAATAGTGTTAGCTATCCCACTTGCATTCATATTTTGCAACAACTTCATCATTTCACCCATTTGAGCTTGTATAAGGGTCACTTGATTTTTCAAAGATGATACTTCTTCTTCCATTCTTTCCTCATGCTCAAGGTCACGAACCTCCATTGGCATAGCCTTAACTCGAGCATAAGTCAAATAAACTCAGGTAGGGTGATGAGCTTGGTTAAACGAATTCTTTACCGGAGCAATGTTATCTTCCTGATTAAAAATAAATAAATAAATAAATTATAGATCTTTTTTTTAAATGGAAATTAGTGGATTGTCTCTTAGAGTTGGCATACAAAATACTAGGTCACTTGAATGCGAATCACCACTTGTTTAAAGAATTATCATAGTTTCCTTATTCCCTTAAGATACGTATTGTATTCATAAGAATATAAGGTTGGCAATCAATTCATAAGAACTCTAGTTTCTTTATAAATGATGTCCATTACAAAAGAGAATCTCTTAGTGCAAAGTACAAGCAGCCATGATTGCGCTAATACCCTTATTTCCCCCATGACATCATCACATAGCATAATGAAATTTGACATTTCTGCTGAAGTATTAAAGGGATGGCTCATGTGCTCTGCTTGTGTGTAAACCTTCCAGAATCTTGGAATGGTTATATTTGCCAATTGAATCCAACTTTCAGCTCGATCCCTCCATTTTTCTGCCTTTTCTGCTTTTCTGGAATAAAGTGTTCTCTAATCATCTAACGCGTCAGTTTGTTGGTGTATTTGTTCTATCAAATTTTGAATTGTGCCAGATGTATCTCTTTTAACTATTGCTAATTCATTTGCCTTTGCCTCCAATTGCTTAGTAACCATTTCCACCTTTTGTGATAAACTCTTTAAAGGATGAAGGGCTTGTACTTCATTATTGAGAGCGTCCCTTTCTTTAGTGACCTTTATCAACTTGATCCAGTTATCCTTCACCTCCTGATCATGCTCTTTAAGTTGTATATACATGTCACACATTGTGCGTTTAAGCTTTAAATTTTCCCTTTTCAATTGATCTATCTTTGTACTTTCTTGCCATGTATCTTGTCTCTTCATCCTTTGTATTTGCTCTTGTAAGGAAGCATACTCGTGTTGTAGGTGGGTTAAAGCTTCTTTGTTCTCTTGATCTGCTTTGGTCAATCTTTCTATCTCCTCAACCCTTCTTTTGAATTGTCTCGTTAACTCCTTCTGTGCTTCTGTTGTGTCACTGCTAAGTAAAGGATCAAGGTGAGCAAACGCTGGATTAGCTCCCTGAATTCTTTTTGTTAACCAAGTTAGATAATCTTCATCTGCCCTTATCATATGCACCCCTAACTCCGTCTTTCCTCTATATAGAACTTTACCCCATGCATTTGCCACCTTTTGGCTTAGATCCTTAGTTGTGGCATCATCATGAAGAAATTGAATTCTCTGAACTTCTTCTCCCGAAGGAATTTTTTATTGGAAACCCAGTAGTCTCAATAATAATGCAGGATTGTAGTTTATTCCTCCCCGCGGCCCCATGAGTGGAACATTTAAGAAATCCCCCGTATTGATAAATTATTTTCTCATTGCTCCACCATATCAATTTCCAATAAACTCTTCCTTCTTGAAGTTGATTAAAAACTTCACTCCACCTTTTTCGGTCTAATATGGTCCTGCCTTCTTTATTCTTGAATGCAGTAAGTGGATTATAGGAATCATGCCATTTCCCTTCTTGGAATTCTTTTCCGTATAAGTGATTCATAACCCACACATTTAATAAGTGAAGGCAACACCTCAATCTTCCCTTTTTCTTGGCATGGCAGTGGCTTAAAGTCATGTAGGTTTCTGCCAGAATTGCTGGTACGGGGTTAATTCGGTGATATTCTACCATGTAAAATACACTGATTGCATGTAAATCAATTATCCCTATAACAAATGGGAATATAATTACTCCATAAATTACCATAGCAAAAACCCTATTGAAAACAATCCATCTTTTCTGCTCAGCCAATTTGATCAAGTATTTCTCCATAAATGCCCTTGAAATCCCCTCCTCCTTTCCTGGATAAAGCAATTTGACCTCCTCAATATTTAGGTCAAGAAGCTTGGCAATTTGATTTTTTGATGGTAGATATCCTGGGTATTTATAGACTTGATCTCCTTCCTCAAGAGGCATCCCTAAGAAAGCTCCATATTCCTTTATTGTAGGAGTGAGTTGAAAGTCTGGGAATGTAAAACATCTCAATGTATCATCCCAATACTGCCCCAAAACAATCATGGCATCAGTTTGAACTGGTATGTAAAGCAAGTCCAAAAGATCCCCATATTTCTTCCTGAAATCAGATAATGAATTCCTTTTGATGTGTCAAGAAAGTTCTTTCAAGTCGTCTAATGTTTCCATCATTGCCTCCAACCTTATTCCCTTGCCTCTATACACTACTCCCGTTGGAATTGCATCCATGACATTCATTGTGCTTTTCACTTGTATGCTAACCTTTCTTAACAATCCACTTTATTTCCTATTAAAATAAGAAATGAAAAGAAAATGAAAAGGTACTATATCACAAATATAAATCATAGCTTCTATCCCTTCAAATCCTTATTGAATTTCAGGGGAATAAAAATTAGAGTTTATTTTATAGGAGATGGAGTATTTTCACAATTATAGCTAATGTTTTTTTAAGCCTAATTAATTAATACTAACTTATTAACAATCTTACTCACTCCTCTGATTCCTTACTGCTCCTTAAAAAAAATGCCTACCAATTAAATGACATATATATATATATATATATATTATTGATGGATTTTATAGAATATTTATAATCTAAATAGTATCTTTTAATATTGATAAATTCGCTATCTATTCTTTGTTTAAGGAAACGACATGGAACAAAGTTTTTTTTTTACATGAAATATTATCCTTAGGCAGGATATCTCAGGAGCACTTCATCCACATACTCTAGGGATACTAGCAAGCTTGACTTATTATGTGCAAAGTTCTTGGTTTGATCTAACAATCCTAGCATGGGCAACCAAGCTGCTTCCACCATGAAGATAGAAACCCCATTTAATAAATTTATTCCTCCGAGAGCTTTTCAACCCTTCAGGGAGTAAACTTAATAAATAAGTAACAACTTGGGTAAAGTTTTCATAGTAATCTCCGGGAATATGAACATTCCTCAGGAAAACCTTTACCAACTTCTGCTAACCTAAGGCTTCCTTAGACCCGGGTATAGGGCCCATTATGTGTGTGAGGGTAAGTGTATACAAATCTGATATTCCTTATCCCTTATCTACCAATCAAGTTAAACGAAGAGATAAATATATGTACAAATAAGAGTCTTCTATCCTAGAATTCATTCCGCCTGTTATCTATCCTAAGACATGTTATAAAACAAATTAAAAGACAGAGAAGAGAAATAATAAGGAAAAAGTAGACAAAAATTAAAAAGGATAATAGTAAAAAAGAAAAACCATATTATATTTTGAACACAACAAACTTATATAGGTTTGATTCTCTAAGTCCCCAGTGGAGTCGCCAACTGTCGCACCCGAAAATGCGATGCGCACAGCGCGAGAGCAAAGATTTCGGCCTTTGGAAGGAAGACAGGAGAAATGGGAGTCGCCACCAAGATTTTGAGGGAAATCTCAGGAAACCGTTTAAAGGTGGATAAGGGTGGTCTGCGAAATCAGAGAATAGGTTGGGGAGTCGGTTGAGTGTGAGGAAGGTGTTAGGCACCCCACAATACCCGTTCGTGAGAACAGTTACCTGAAGTTTGTTGTGCTAAATTAATATGGTTTTAAAGTTATTTTAATTATCCCTTTTTTATTCATGTATTTGATATAAAAATGATAACAATTAACTGAGAAATATTTATTTATTTATGGGAAGGACTTCACTCAGAATCTGGCTCTGAAGCCTACGTACCCTGTGATAGGGATCAAAGTCCATATAG